TCTGAACTAAGCGACATCGCGCAACACCATCGTTGGCCCGGTGGACGGTAAGCTGCTATTAAAATTATTCGTAGGAGACCAGATACCTAAGCTGAAATTTCGTAGGGGGCTATTATACCTATCGCTCGCCTTTCGATCTTGCGTTGACTAACTTGTCACCGTGCGGGACAAATACGGTTCTAAATATTGGAAGCGACATTCGCGCTAGTAACGCAAACAACACCCATGGAAGTGGATACATCGCCACTGATTCAGTTAGTCGCCATCTCATGAGCCATTCCCATAGATATATCTAACTTTGAACTTTCAGACGGACGTATCTCTCACTCAGGCCGGTGTTTGAATCTCAAATTTAGATAGAATAAATCTAACCCTTCTAATACTCTGCAGACATTCCATTTCCAATGGCAGACTTGTTGATGGGCATTTAGAAAGCGTGGCGAATTTTTTCTTGGGTTTATCGGTTCTAATTCTAATCGCGGGTCAAGGTTTTACAAAAAAGATAAAGAGAAATAGGCGCCTCTGCTCGTACATATGTAGTCCTTCGAGAGAATGATGTCTAAAAATACCCGTGATCAGTCCTAAAACAGTGACGCGAAGTGATGATGATCTTATCTCGGACAGTCACGGTTGAACATTGACTGTCACCGCGATGGCTACGTTCGAGCCCTCCAAGCTGGGCACGAAGGAACAGTAAGCTCTTCTTTTATCTAAACAATAACAACAGCCTTTGACATAGCTCTGAAAGCTGGGACAGTGTATATGAAGAGGAGCTTGAAAACTTCGAGGAAATCGGGGATGAGGGAGAAATCTGGTAAGGAGATGATCTCTTTAAAATGAAAATATTTTTGACCCTCAGAACAGGTTTGGTGTGGAAAGCGTCGAAAAGATGGTAGAATGGGCCCTTGAAAATCTGCCACCGTCTGCCAACGCGTCGATTTTGGAAGTCGGGAGCGGGAACGGAACTTTGCTTTTTGGACTTCTTGACGCGGGTTACGCTGTGCAGGCTCTTCATGGGATCGACTATAGCGCAGGTGCTGTGAGCCTATCCAAGGAAATTGCCAAAACTCGCGGAGGATCTGATATCGTGTTCACTGAATGTGATTTCCTCAACGAGGATCCTCAACAACCGCAAACCGCGTCTTTGGACCGCTCGGATGTATGGGACCTTCTTTTAGACAAGGGAACATACGACGCGATCGCTTTGGGAGAGAGAGATGAACAAGGGAATCTGCCGACTTCTAAATATCCAGGTCGAGTGACAAGGTTGTTGAAGCCGGGTGGTCATTTTTTGATAACATGTGCGCTTAGTATTCAATTCCATGAACCTCTGAAACAATGATTCCATCTTTTATGCCAGCATGCAATTTTACCGAGGATGAATTGAAGGCGGCATTTGCGACAGAGGAGACGGGGTTGGCGTATCAGTAAGTCAGGCGATGCAACCCCGAACCTCAGCTTCTGATTTATGGATTACGTTCACAGCTCTCGAATCCAGCATCCAACCCTCAGTTTCGGTGGAAAAACTGGAAGCAGCTGTTCCAGTGTAGCATTTGTGAAAAGATAATCCATAAACGCTCCGATATAATCTACAACACAGATACCGCATCGACACCAGTTCGCAGTGTATCTTTCGCCACACTAACCGCCCATCGAAGAAACTTCGAAAAGTCAGCATCAGTGGCCGACGCTTCTTTCGACATCGCTGACAAGAAGTATACAAGTCCCATGGCCAAAGCTTGTACTCGGGTAGCTTTGATAAAAATCTCTTCAATCGTGGCTCGATTGCGAGTGAGGATCAGGTTGTCCACATCCATAAGGACGACCGGGGTAGACCGTTGGCTATTGACGAAGATGTGTGTGAAGACTTCTGTCAGGAAATCTCGTGTTCGAGGCTTGAGTGTCGTGAAGTCCACAGGCTGCATACGCTGCTGTCAGAAGTATTATCTTACAAAACCGACTTCGGATAGCCTCACCTTCAACACGAGAAGAGTCACACAATCCTTGGCAATCCACCACGCATATGCTCTGGCAACATTTCGGAGTCGATAGTCTGATATATTTTTAACGTCGAAATCGTCGGAATCATCGATGTTCTTGATCACAGCAGCGCCACCAACAGTCTTCTCGCCAAGATCACGTAAAAAATCCCATAGACTGAACTGCAAGGTGATTTTATACGCATGCGATGTGCGGCATAACTGTTGGCAGACCAGGGTATAATATGGATTATACGCCTTTTCCTGGGTAAGATTATCAATGGATGTACGCCAAGGTAGAAGGGAGTATGGTAACATACATTTCCACAGCAGTGCAATAGAACACGAACAATTTCTCGCTGTTGAACTTCGGTGAGATTCAGCTGTGAGAGCCTCTCGCACGCATCAATATAATCCTACGACCCGAGAACAAATCATCAAAAGATGCGAAATATGGAAGAGTCAGGCTTGTGACCCACATCGCTGCTCATTAGAACGATAAAGATGCCGCGACGAACATCGGTGTTCATTCCTTGTGAACGAGCCAGCTTGATCAGATCGGCGGATTCGCTCGGGACAACTTCTTCTTTCTCTACATTGGCAGTGGTCGATTTGCTCAATTCTGCTTGCTTGTCAACCAATGGGTCTCCGCTCCATGCGGCGCCGACTAGCCACCATTTTCCTTTCGTTTCGGCCGTATGCAGATCTTCGAGAGAGACCCGTAATGGCTCGTGAGCGAGAACTGATTTGAAGTCATGAGAAAGATGTTGACAGATAGGACAGGAAAAACATCATAGAACATACTATGCCGCGACTTGCTCAGGCCAGAAAGGAATTTCTTCAACCGTTCGACAGCCGCACCACCTTGGTTCTGAGTTACGTTTCTCTTTAGCTTGTTATTCTTCAGGTTCGTCAGAGTCTCGATCATAAATCGGGTACGGGAGCTTGAGTCCGCATGAGTATGGATTACTATGAAACTAACAAACGCAAATGCTCACCTGATCCCTTCATCCTCTGTTGACACGCGACCTTGCACAATTTGTATGATATCCTTCAATGCGGATGGATCGTCTTGTCGTAATTGCTGTCCAGAATCTTCAGCACGGAATGTTAGATTCTATGCAGTTGGAGGTCAGAGAATTCTCTTACTGCGAACGACTTTGAGCAGCAGCTCAACATTGTATTCAGTCAAGTCCCCAGCAAGAAGCGCTCGAATGACATCAAACAGAAGGAGGGATGAAATGACTTGGAAATTGTAGAGCTCAGAGATCAGGACCAGTAAGTTCGAGCATTCTTTGCCTTCTAGTTCTGTAACATCGGTAGTGGAGGAGATCTTGCTGTACTGTTGTTCGTATGATAAGACGAGAGTTTGGACAAAGTGGGCAGCTTTAACGGGAGTGAGTCATTATAGTATTTAGTCTTGGACCTGGGGATATCACACACCAAATTCAATTCCAATGATCTTGTGCAGGCTACTGACAAAGGCAGCATACAGGACCACGTATGAGTCAAGTAAGGATGAATGCGTAGAAATTCCATGAAGAATAAGGGTAGTGAGGGTGGATGTTACGTCTAACACAGTTTTAGAATATGTTCGGTGGGGATAACATTAGCTGAAGGCGTACCATTTCTACGATGTTCCCTGTAAATCTCTTCGACACTATCGACGATTGATCCAATGTTCTGTTCACTCATTCTGAAGAATCAACAACATAAGTGATACAGCCATTTCATTAGCTGAAAAAGAATACCGATTTAGTAGACCCTTCAGTTGTTTTGTCAGTTTCTGGATATGTTCCGAATCAGATTTGTCGGATTTTTGGGCATTCCTCAGATGAGGAGGTATATATACACCTATACTAGTCAGATTCAATGTACATGAGGATTGAGTCTGAGAACATACCTGTGGCGGCAGGCTTGGTATCACTCTCTAGTTGTTTTTTACAGGGCTCTTTGCTGTCTTCTTCAGTCTCCGAATCAAGGTTGTCGTTGGCAATTCCACCCCACTCTTCGCCGTAGTCATCTGACTCTGCACTATCAGATTCGCTGACGGACGAATGCAATATTGAACCTTCGTTGTCGTCTTCCACATTGCCATCTTCGTCGTCTTCGCTTGTAGGTTCAGGATACTAAAAATAGATGTCAAAACACAAAAGTCTTCGTTATATTATTAACATGGGGCATGCCTTGTTTTTCAGTGTTGTCCGGGCCACAAACGAGTCCGCCCAATCCATCAGATCTACCGCCACAAAGAAAAGGTGGTAAGTGAAAAGGATAGACTCTTGACACTAAAAGCACATACCGTCCAGACCATCGTCCTCTTCCTTGCTCTTCTTCTTTCGACCAGACTTCCCTAGTCCTAGTTGTGCCTCAAGATACGCAATATATGAATCTTCTTTTTCTTCTTGTGGATCTTTGGGAAGAACAGATATTTTCTTGGTATGTTTGGAAGGTTCCAAAGTTTTAGCAAGTGATTTGGAGGGTTTTCCAGAGGTGGTCTGGCGACTAGAAATTTGTCCTGATGAAGCATTCTGATTTTCTTGGGGAGTAGCTTTGGACTGCGTTTTGGTTTTTGCTTCATGTGGTCTGTCAGAGTCGTTCTGGCGGACTTTTTTGCGTTTAGGCGAGTCGGTGTGTTCATCGTCCGCGGCTCGTTTTCGATGGTTTGGATTGTGCGAAAAGTACTCGGCCTTCTTCTGCTTCTGAACAGCACGTTCCTGTTTCCTCAATTCCTTTCGTGAGCCAGAGCGCCGATGACGCTGAGTTTGGGGGTGGTCATTGGCTACATCGTGGAAGGTATTGAGAACGGTATGGATTTCAGTATATAACGCAACGCACCAGTTGTTTCCTGAAGCTGTTCCTGCAGACTTTGAGGAAGGCGTGTGGTAGAGGTTTTCTTGCGAGGCGCCATCGCCGTCGGTAGTTGAAGCAATGCGTACATATGATTCAAGATTGTGTCGCAGAAGTCAAGTTTCAATTTTGCGGATAGTCATATTTTTCAAATGTGAGGAAGCTACCATCGGCCTAATGGTCTAGTAGTATGATACGCGCTTCGGGTATTTTCCCGCTTCCTCAGGAAGCAAAGATGTGCGTGGTCCCGGGTTCAATTCCCGGTTGGGCCCCTTTTTGAGTCTTTTTCTCATGCATCGTTCTACTTCGGTCCCTCGCGTGAGTCGTGGAGTCGCGACGTCCATTCAGAAATGCAGGCAGCAGCATTATTTTACAGTTTGCTGAAAAGAATCGATACAGGGGTGTTTTTAAAATTAAATGACCCATTCCGAAGCTTCGCTGATAAAATTCGCATGATAATCAAACACTAACTTCTTATTATATCGGCATTGATGGTGTAGCGGTAACATTGGGTCTTCCCATGGCCTAGCTCCGGGTTCGACTCCCGGTCAATGCATATGTTTTTGCTTTTCCCGAAAATTTTATTCGATCGACGTGTGTATGACTATGACATATATATGCCGGCAGCTGAGTGCGCTAACGCACCCGCTTCATGAAAAGGTCTGAGCTTGCAAGCTCCTTCAAGCTCGAGCCCAGCTATTAATGATTCGCAAGCCTCGAGCTTTCCATTACGGGGAAATTCTTCCACTCTCGTAAAACCGAACACACGTCGACTGAGTTTCCTCATCGCGACAATGCGAAAATGCGCAATGGTCTGAATCAAAGTTATTGAAATACAATAGTAATTGAGATAAGTTGCAGCAGCACCATCTCAAGTAGTATAAGAGTATCATAAAATGTCGTTAACTGAAATTGATACATGAGGGTCCGAGGCCAAAGGGCCGAAGTGGGGTAACCGGTAAAGCACGAGAAGGCTGCAGTATATATGGTAGAAGATAAATGGTAAAGACGACGATTGTATCGAAGGTGCTGGGGAATCAGCGTAAGATAGAAGACAGAAATTTGTCTGGGATACAGATACGCAGCAAAAGGGTAATATTTTATGAGGTCCGTAAGATGAAGAGTAAATGAATGTAGAAAAATAATTGTCCGATAAAATCAAACCAGTGTCCGAGTCTGAATTGTGGGTCGTTAAGAGGCCGAGGAATGGGTAAATAGAAGGGGTGATGGGAGAGTGAGAATTCAGGCAGCCTGTGTCCTCTTTGTTTTGCACAAGGTCAATGACATCAATCAAGATGTCTGACAATTGGGGATCGTAATGCCGCTCTTAAGGGTACGACTAATGTCATTGTCAACATAAATTGAAGACAGAAGAAGAGGAGCATTAGCAGACGTACTCTTGGTTGAACAGACCCCACCATCCTTCAACACCTCCAAATTGTTTGTCTTTCCAGTCCTCGTCGGCAAACTGAAACCAAAGATATAGGATCAATTTACCAAAGCAAATGGAAAGCAAAGCAACGCACCTCAAAGAAGAAGTAGCCGGTCCCGTTAGCATTTGCTTGGCAGACAAAGGTATCCAAGAAAGTCTGTAAAACAAAGCGTTTGAATAAAATAATTTCACCAATCAAGTGAAGTCAAATAATGCACCTGTAGGTTAGCCACGGATGCATCAGAGGCACCGTTGTTTGCATTTCCAGCATCGGAGGATTTCTACAACAAAATTAAAGATCCAGCACCATTCAAGCCAACCACGTAGTGGGCTACTCACGGTAGGCCATCCAGTCTCGGCAATGTACATCGTAGGCTTATTCGCTAGCCCATTTGCTAACGCAACATCTTGCTCCGCAAAGAAGTCAGCTGTCCAGCCTGCCGATGCTTGGGCAGACACATTCGCAAACCAAGGATGGACATTTGCCATCTACACCAAAAACGTTGAATAAAAATTGCGAATCATGAGAGCAAGGACACCCACTCCGTAGTTGACAGCCGCCAACACTTCGTTGCTGAAGTAACTTCCCGCGTCGGCATTTCCGACAGGCAAGCTCACGCCCAACGACTGTAGCATGCTCTGCGTATCTTGGATATTTCCAAGCAGGATTTGTGCGCCCACGTTGGCAGCAGCGCTATTCACATCTGTGATGCCGTTCCCCGTAACGTAACTACGGATCGACACAAGTCAATAATCACATCAGTTAGACGCAATAAGCATTGACATACTTGAGCATGAACTCGTTGCCGACAGTGACGCCGCCGATATGTTCGGTGCCGTATGTCTGGATGGCTTGTTTGAGGACATCGCGTTGACGGGTGTATGCAGTGCCGTTATCTGTTGGGACTGGGTAGTTGCCTAGATAGACCGTCATGTTCACTTTAGTTTGCTTGATGGCTTCAAGCTATTGGGTTGATCAGTAAGATTTATCGCGAGAAGGCTATCTATTGCCGCAAGATACTCACCACCAAGGCAGATTGATTGCAATCGGCGCCGTAGAGACGAACACGCTGCAATACAATGCTTATCGTCAGCGACATACGTATGAAGGGTGACGAATGATGCGCACAGGAGTCAGCTGCGACATAATCTACAAAAATAGAGCAAAAATTACATCAGTCCACTGTTAAAATAGACGCTCTCGATTTAACGAACCTGGATATCCTGAATTACAGCCGCTGTTGACCGTAAAGGTCATAAAGCGAGTCAGTAGGTATTCCATGCCGCTCTGCCGTGCCATGCAACACGATGGATGAACACGCACCGAGAGAATTCCCGCAATCCGGCAACTGCGACCCAACGGGGGTGTATGCGATTCCGTATAACGACTGATGCAAGTTGGTATCTTTAGTGAATTGACTAGGATCGTTCGGGTCTGTTTGCTGGACAGATGAGTTTGTCGAGGGTGTGGCGGTTGACGAGGAACCTGAAGAGCCTGAACTCGACGTTGATAGATTTTTGTTGTTGCTACTCTTGTTGTGCGACACCACGACTCCGACTACGACGGCGATAATAATCGCACCCACAACGGCGACTAGGATACCCATGACCTATCTCCGCGAGTTGAGTACGGCGAAGTTAGAGAGACAAACAGGACCACTCACGATCCATTTCTTGCGATTGGATTTGGCAGGCTGAGGCTGCATCCATCTCGAACCAGGGGTATAAGCCCCAAGCTTGGGTTCGTGACTCCCTTCCATGAAACCACTTCCTGAGCGCGACATATCTGAAGCCATTCCGTATCCAGCAGCGGGGACAAAAGGCGAGGCACCTGCGGGTCTGTCGGCGAAGTTGCGTGCAATGGGCGTGGACAGGTCCTCTGTGGATTCCGCAGAAAAAGGCTGGTTGTACCCGCCAATGGGGTGGTAGGGCGTAGTTGGTGTGTTGGATCCGCCTACGTTTCCGAGAGCGATGCTGTTCAAACGACTGGGAGGCTACAATAGAAGGAATGGGTATGTCAGTGGAGCAAAAGGGAGACGGATGTGATCGGTCAGCCAGAGAAACGGGCTTTAAGAACAGTTTTTTTGGATGGTTTATAACCGGTCTCCGTCCTTGCAAGGCTCATCTTCGCCGCTATAAAGATCTGTGATGATGCAATGAAAGCGTAAGCTTACTGGTTGGCTGCTCAGGTCGACATCACTGTGATTGGGGTCGAATGGGTTGTCGTGGTAGGGTCGGTCCATATCGAATGGCGTGGAAGGGGAAGGAGATGGAGGTTGGAAGAAAGAAGTTGTTGAACAACAAGTGCCGACGTGCGGAACGAACTTGGGCGACTGAACGGGCCCCACTGAAAAGGCCTGCCTACGCCTAGGCACACCGCCTTTCAACTGCGGTTCTATATTTATTGCGTCACACGCCACAACGCACCTAATTATAGCATGCTCTGCCTTTTTGCCATCTTCGCGCTCAACAAACTTCAACTTCAAGTTCGACAGCGGCGTTGTCTTATGTCGCTAGTCAGGTAATTGTATGTATTTAGTTTCCAACGGCCCAATATTCGACCCATTCTAATAACTCACGGACTGGTGGCGGTCAATTAGGATATCACTGCTGGTTAGAATCTTACGCCTCGAAGGCTACTCGTGGAGCCTAGTCTTCCAAAGCAGAATTCGACTCTGTTATTTTAACTCGATCCCGGCGACAATGTCGTTTCAGTTCGAACGACATGGTGTGATATGTAGGAGCATCAAACACGCTAACGTCGTTAGGCATGTATATTACTGGAACATACATGCAAGGAGACGACGATAATCATTCATAAAAAGGTTTTGAACTTGTGGGTAACATACATATAATTTTTCCTGCCTTCTGGTCTCGAAAACACTTCAAGAAAGACTATATTCACGCTTGATCTCGTCCGCCAGTTTTTCCGCGACGGCATTGCAAGCCCCAGCCTGTATTCAAGATTAGAACCATAAACCCAAGGTGAAAAGCCATCACCCACTATATGTCACGACACAATCCACGGAAAAATACTGGCATCCGCTACTTTAAGACTTTCAACCCCATATACCCTCAGCTTCGAGTCTACAGCCCCGCCATCAGCCTGAGGGTCCATCCGGCAAATCGACGCCAGGTGGTATACCGTTTCCATCCGCTCGCGCACGAGCGCCTCGAGCTCCGCATCTGAATTGAGATGGCACAGATAGTAAAGACGCCAGAGGCTCGGTACGCGAGATGCGTGGACGGAGCGTCACGCCGCCGATGAGCTTCGCGAGATCTTCAGGGGTGGCGATATAGTATATGATTATGGCTGAAGGTTGTGTTAGCGCCGCCGCCGTGTGGATTTAGAGGGGCGGTGGCATACTTTGGATTGACACTGGGCTACACCCATGGATTTGCAGATTTGAGAAGCACTGCACCATGGCTTGTTGGTCTTAAAAGATAGACATGCAAAGCGAATGTATGCACGTCAAAACCTTTCAATCCATGTTCCTAAAGGGGTGCTTAGTCCTCCATAGTAATCGACAAAGGCCTTCACGCACATCTTGTAGGTCATAGGCGTTAAGAAAACCTCTAGATCAGGACTCTGTAGCTGAAGTGCTATCCAACAATTCATCAGGAAATTCGTCTTTAGGAAACAAGACCGGGTCGTCCGAGCTCACTAAAATGTTGCACATTCACCGAATTGCCAGGAAAATCATTCAACGTCGGCACATGTAGTCACCCACGAAACAAATGAAAACCTCAAGACGTAAACATACATTCATAACCAATGGCCAACCCATCCCCAGCACGCGACATTGGAAAACAGCGGCGAGTACCTTCAGCATATCGCTG